CGCTGCATAGAGGTAAAAAAAATATTTCATTGGATAAGTAAGAAGAAAAGTAGTTAAATCTACCTCGCCCATTCTTCCCGAAAGCACAAAATATCTGCCAAATTATCCAAATTTTCTGAAATCTTCAATGATGTTTGATGTAATATTAAATTCTCCAACTTGTCAAGGACTTTATAAGATTAAATGATAACTAAAAAATATTAATTGAAAGTCTCAGTCTAACATAACTTCCACATTCAAAGAAATTATTTCAGTTACAATAAGTAACGTCCACCAATGTAACAATTTTCAATATTCTTTACTGATTGGAATACAACGTAACTATTTTTAAAATAATAAAAAGAGATAATAAGAAAGTTTATCAGTACTAACAGAAGTGTTTATAAATGATTGCGAGTTTGAAAGTTTTGAAGTATTCTTTTGAGTCGAATACTTCCTTGTATCACTGACATTTGTGAGAGAATCCATTGAAATAATTACTAGTATAAATTATTCTTTGTTCTAAATATTGTTCTAAATATTTACGATAATATTTCCAAATTTTGCATTTCACAAAATGGGCGTGTGCAAATTGTCAGGATGTCTCGCATCCTCTCATTTCATTAGAAAAAACTATATTGTGAATTTGTGACATCGACTTCTGTGTAATGGAGTGGTTCTACGGACCAAATTACTGTAATGCCATTCTACAATATCAAAAATCCTATGAAATTGCAATGCTCTCAAATATTTACCCAGTAAAGGCGAAAATTTGTTGCAGGTTGACCTGCAGCATACATTTTTATTACCTAAATACCACTTTGGTTGTTACAAATTTATCAAAGAATGACCCTGCCTTCAAAACAAACTTTTATCTACGCCCAGTAATGAACAGCCACGGGGACATGAAAAATTCGGCGAATTTCAAATGAGGAGGCTAAACGTTTCACTTTTTCCCGGCGGAATTCATTAGTTACTCCACCTCGCGAGGCAGCGGAGAATGTAATAACAGGCAGGGCGTCTCGCCCTTCAAACGCCTCATTAATCTGCGGCGCTCAAACGCAGAGGGCGCCGCCCGCAACGCCCCTCACTCCGCGGGCGGCGCGCGGCACGTGGCAAGGCCCTAAGGGCGCCCAGGGCGGGGCCGCCCGAAGGGCACAAGGGTGGAGGTCTGCTCCAATGCAAGAGACGAGGCCACGCCTCCTCCGAGGTGTCCCGCCGGTCACCCGCTTTTCGCTAGGTTACAGCCGATCGCGTCTGAGCGCCCACCCCTCCCGATGGGCTGTCTCAACCAGAAGAGGGTCACTTGAATTGTTTGCAGATGAGCGCTGGGCCAGGACACGCCAAGTGGGCTCCCCTCTTGGGCAACCCTAATCTAGAGCACGCAGGACGTCGGTGGGCAAAAATATGAAAGTGTGTATTGATTTCTAGATGTGACTTAATTATAATTTTTGTTATTTGCAATAGCTCAGTTCAACCCCAGTTTTAAGACAGATGACATATGCAGGCGAAGAAACTCAATTGGTTCTTTGTGTCTAAAATCCCCATTAAAGGGTTTTAAGACGCCAATTAAGGGGGGCGAAGTATGAGGAGGTCCTAATGACTCAGCATTAAATAGGATGACTGGCATGATTTACAACAGAGTAAACAGTATGAAAAGTGAGAAAAGCAATGATTCCACGGTTTCAAAAATATGAAATGAATGTGTTTCATTTTAAAACAAAATCAATGGAGATACAATGTTTTAGAGGCAGATAAGGAGAAAAAGGGTTTGAAGAATTTATAGCTTGGTCAAGCGTAAAAATAATTGATTTACTTGAAGGTAACGTCTTCAATTAAGCATGTAACAACAAGTTGCAAAATTCAAAACATTATGTCGGAGACACAAACGATGTAACTAAAGAAAAGTAAGCTAGAAACACAAGAGGAATTGTTGGAAACAGAGTAGTTAATAAGTAGAAGAAGTGGCGAAAGCAGCGATATCCACGAAAGTACTTGTGGTTGCGAAGGATGTGAAAAAATATAGAGAGGCTGATGAGAAAGTAAGAAGGAAGTAGAATGAAGATAGTTTAATTGAATGCAGAGCGGCAGAATAAAGAGAGGAACTCAGAGGAAGAATAAAGGAGAAGAGGATTAGAAGTAAAACACGATACAGATTTACACCAATTTGACAAAGGAGAAAATAGTAAGCTAAAAAAGAAATCAATGCACAGAAACTGAGAGGGCAGCTGATACTTACCAAACGAAGAATGCTCAACGATGAGGATGATGGGAATCAAAATAGTGAAGATGTAATTTAGCGAACAGGTACAGCTACAACGAAATCGAAGTTGTATCTGAAGATGGAAGGGAAATTGAAGGCGAAGAGGTGAAATGAACGTGGTGGAATGGCATGTGAAACGAAAGAAGCAACTACCATGAAGAAAGAGAGAAAGAAGGAGGCGGAGGCACCGGAAGTAGACGCACAGGAGACAGACTCCGCGGCGGAAGCGGGGCGCCCCGGGAGGTGCGGTGGCAAAGTTCCAGAGCGAGTGCTCCCAACTCGACTAAACGAAATCTCATTACGAAGCGACGTTAACGTCGTTAGTGGCTAATGCCGCTTTAATGCGCTCGACTCGGATGCACTCGGCGAAAATAAACACGCGACCGCCTCCGCCGCCGCCGCCGCCGCCGCCCTCGCACGCTGGTCCTCCGCTGCAGCCCCTCGCTCGGCGAAGAAAGCCCGAAGACGGTGGGCGGGGATTGAACAAGCGACCTCGGAAAGTGTGATTTTGAGAGCTCTGCACAGACGGGAAGAACCAAGAAAGCTATGTACAACAGACGACTTGAATGAAGTTAGTTTGCACCAGGCGATAACAACGTAGTCTGTTCGGTTGGATGGATTAGGGATAGGCGATACTGAAGAGGGAGGAAACTGAACTATTCATCGAGGAAGCAACGCAGGAGAAAAGAGATACGAATGAGAGACCGAAGGAGAATGCGACGATATGGACCGAAGATTTAAAGAATGTCTCTTGTCTCTACAAGAGGAAGTAATCTTCCTTTCTAACTCCGCAATGGAATTGGTATAACACGACGGCCAGATGAGAAGGAGAACGTTTCCACCTCTTCTGCATCGTTGCACCTCGGAAATACCATCGTCTTAGCGAGTACTTTGGCAATTCTAAATGTGCAACTTGGCTGACACAGTTAAGTTCAAGAACGAGATAACTAGAAACTGCAAATGGCAATTCCTTCTACTCGTCCGTTTAAGTCTAGGCACAATAATAAGATATTTAGAAAGTATAGCGTGTATTTATCATTCGTTGATTATCTAGTAAAAAAAAGAGTGTAAATAAGTGTTGAAAATTTATTTTTTCAGCTTATTAAGTATATTACCAATGTTAATTTGAAAGAATTTTTACTGTAATAAAATTATAACACTCCTGTGCAAAAATAGAGAAGTATTCTACCCTTCAAGTAATAATGTTCAGAAACGAAAATCGTGTCCATTACAAATTACTTTTCTCCCATGAAGCACTAGCCCATGGCAATAAACAGAACTACATATCAGGTAACAAAATGGACAATACAATTATAGACAGAACATACTATGCAAATCCGTGATCCGAAATACTGCATCGATGTCACACCGGACCGTTGGGCCAACCGCGAGTACCGGACGAGGCACCAACAATACCAGGGAACAATGGAGGCAAGTGAGCACCGAAACGCGCAACGCCCAGCGTCCTCAGCCAACAGAGCAGCGCGTACGCGTGCGGGCAACCTCGGAGGCGGAGGAAGGAGCGGGAGGGAAGGGGATGCGGGGCGGGGCGAGGGTGGGATGGGTGGGCGGCGACGGTGGGAGTGAGGGTAGTGGCGATAGTGAGGACGAGAATGGGAGGAAAAGGCAGGGCCGGGTGCGGGGCAGGGGCGGCGTGCTGTGGCAGGATGGACGGGGGCAGGGGCGGCCCGAGGGCAGAGACGTTAGGCGGAAAACAGGGACGGAGCGGCGATAGTGGGCGTGGCGGATGGAGAGCTGGGGCGGGGTGTGGGGCGGGTGCTTGCCGGGTGGGACCGGGGCGGGACGGGGTGAAGGCGGGGAGCGGGCAGATGCTTACCGACACGATGCCAGAGAATAGCCGTGAGTGCTTTGTGTGCCTTCGCGGGACGAGCGTTCATTCAGGCGCACGGCGATGGCGGATCGCCATGACGGCTCTGTCATGCGCCCTGCAAATCCACGACTACTGCCCCCTGCGCGGGATCGTGGCAGACAAACATAAGCGGCTGTATGGCGGGTACAACAAGCTCGTGTAGAACTAAAGGCACAATTGCTCCGTGGAGGCTGCTGTGCTTTCGTTTCGTCGTGATTTCCAATGTTTCCTGCGTTTACAACAGGGCATAGAAAATACGTATAGTTAACACGGAAAAAGATTTAAAGAAGATTTGAAGAGACTTTAAACTCAACTAACAGCTGAATTCATTGTGTTTGGAATTGATATTGTAATCATTCTTATAAACTTCACGTAACTTGTTGCAATAACATATTATTAGGGAATTAAAAACATAAAATGTTTATTTTCCTTTGATATTCTTACTGAACCTACCCTTCTCAACGACCGTTGCACCTTGCTATATCCTAACATATATGCGACTCGTTTACGAGATGTGTTTCCCGAACAAACGCTTATAGAGCATAATTTTCACAATGACCTGAATGCGTACGACCAAGGCGCACACGACCAAGGCGCACACGACCAAGGCGCACACGACCAAGGCGCACACGACCACGGCGCATACGACCAAGGCGCGTACGACCAAGGTGCACAAGACCCAGGCGCACACGACCAAGGCGCACACGACCAAGGCGGCCACGACCAAGGCGCACACAAACAAGGCGCATACGACCAAGGCGCATACGACCAAGGCGCAAACGACCAAGGCCCACACGACCAAGTTGCAAACGAACAAGGCGCGTGCGACCAAGGAGCGTATGGCCAAAACGCAAGCAATAATCACCCATACGATCAATACAATACTATCTACGCGCAACGATCAACGGGCTTACGATCAACTTGGCCACGATGAACCCGAACCCGACCAAGGGCGCATCGGATGAAGGCGCGTCCGTCACACGCCGCGGTGCCGCGAGAGCGTGTGGGCTGGCGTTGCGACGGAGGCGGCGGCGGCGCCGCGCGGTCGGCGCACTCGAGCGTAGCGGCCTGCGGAGCCGCGCCGCGCTGCAGTGCGCCGTTGTACGCTGTGTTGCGTTGCGTCGCGTCGCGTTGCGTTGGGCGGCGTGAAGCGTCGCTTGGCGTGGGCCGCCAAGGCCGGTTGGCACTTGGCGACGAGGAGCGCTCCCTGAGACAACACGGGCGGGCTTGCGCGGCCTCGCCACGCCCACTCACGACGCGACGCGACGCCTCCCCGGAGCGCGGCGTTACACGGGCCCCACGGACCGCGAAGGTGGGTCAGGGCGTCAACCCATGTCACTGCCTCTGACCGGGAGGGCCTAGTGTTCCAATCCCGACGGTGTGGGAGGATTTTCGGTAGTAGCTAGGTCGAGGTCACTCCCTGTCTGGAGGAGAATTCTAGTGCCCGGATTCTGTATTTTTCCGTGGTTTCTCCGATCAATATCCGACAAATACCGGAGCAGTACCGCGATGCTTCCTTCCCCTTCCTTGTCTTGTCCGTACATCTTATGTTTATTCAGTGTACAAACACTTACATTCACATCACTACACTGCCACATTTGTCCAGAGACCAGTCAGGAGCTTAGGGCTGGTCCCGCTGCGGCGGTGCCCGCTAGTGGGAGATACCTGGTTTGGGAAAGTACCGGCAAGCCGATGGTAGGTCGTCGTCGGATCTCGCCGTTCTGCGGGGAAAGATAACTTCCACCTCCCGTAATAAAAAAATCGTACGGGATTGATGATCTTAGCAGTTGGCGTGCCCGGACTCATCAATCAATCAACAACGTACACAAGATACTAGACTTGTGGATTACTAATAATTATTTCTATTAATATTATGCGATTCGTTGGGGTAGCCGCGATAGTTGAAGCCATAGTAGCATACGCCGACGGCTACAAAATTTATTGCCAGCTCATAACATTGGTGGTTCTCGTATGTTTGTTATAATCCCATATCCGCCTCATTCAGCACTGAAGAATTTGAATTTGCCTTCTGCAACGAGTGAAGTTATACTATACTGTTTTTATAATAATAGTTATTGCAATCGGTTATATTAATAAAAATTAAGAATTGCATCATTGAATAAATTAATACATATGCTTCGTTACACACTACACCTACAACGCCAAACCCCCTGGAGTTGGCACTACAATAAGCAGAAAAGGAAGAAGAACAAGAAGACTGTCTAAGAAAAATAACGTGTATGCGGTGACGCAATGACAGTCTATCCCTAGAGACTTCGTGGGTATCTTATAGAGTTCATTCATGTTCGATGTCAAAAACATAGGATACTTCGAAGGATGTTAGACGTTATTTAATTACCATAAAATTCTCAAACTATTTCAAACATCTATTTAATTATGGCAACATTCCGGCAATACCGCGCCTGTGCTCTCGTAAGTTCCTCGGCCTTGAAAAAACGTTAGGACCAACTCCAGTATTTATGCTGTAATCATGTCTGCATGCCATGGACCGTTTGCTGAATCATTTGTTGAAATGTATCGTAAAATCGCCATCAGATAACCTCGGGATATGTCAACACAATACGAATGAGAAATCAGAGAAAACTCAACTAACGGAACCCAGAGCCACTACTACTCGCGAATACAATGCCTTACAGAAATCTTAACATCTTTCGTCATAGAGGAAAATGTGATCTTCATCTCCTTGCAGAGCTTCAGTCTGGAAACCAGGAAGACTTGTAAGTAGTTTTCGCAATTTCGCTTAGAGTGAAGATGAATGTTCGGTAGTTCCCAACTGTACTAGGGAGATGGTTTCAGAAGATTAAGAAACGTAAATGGGATTGTTAATTATCTGCTTAATGGCCGACAAAAGAACTCACTCCCAGTTCCTTCCCTTATTTCCAATCTTACGCCACAAAAACGACAATGATAATATAACAAAGTTTAAAAGTACGGCAACATGTGATTTCTGCTTTATTTTCAGATTCAGAGGACCAACTCAACATAGAATGACGTAATGATTAGTTCACAGAACCTTTCGTCTGAAAATACGACTTGTAATTCGAACTAAAAAGAACTGGAGATAAACAAACTGATTTGGCGGTGAATTTTGGAGGCATACATTTAAGGACTTATACGTATTTTAATGCCACTCCACATATAAATCATCCATTTTTCATTTATTCACCATTACGCAATGCTGAACTATCTACGATCTTCGTAATTAGTCTATTCCGTGTACAATAAATGTGCCAAACGTATGCGAAACATGACAGGTGATTCTTCGGTTGAATTTCTTCATTCGCTAAGAACAGAAGTACGTGTTTTCAGTTCATGTTTATGAATTACGTATCTTCCACACAGCTACGTATCTATCCACACAGCTCTGAGACGTCTTTGAAGATTTTTAGGTAGATCTTCCAAATTTATCGCTGATGACATAACATCAATAAATGATGAATATGGATATAATTTTATCGACCGATTTCATACATCGGATATCTACTTATCAAATTTAGACACGCTGATTGGTTTAAACTTAAGAAGAAGAGATATTCTTCTCCCAAAGAAAACCCCGGAGTCAGAAAAATATACTTCAGTGCAATGGAGAGGCAAGAAACATTCGAATCAATAATATAACTGCAATATTATATTTTGCGTTATTTTGTATACTATGTTGTTTGTGTGTTTCGTTTTTCTTAACTGCTTTGTGACAAATTAATCAGCAAACGTTAAAAAAATATCAAATAATTAGTAGTAACAGAAACCTATTGATTACCGTATTACCTGTTCAATCGGAAGGGATACGTAATGAAACGTGCATATGATTGAGCTGTGAGTACACACAGCAGAGCAATTTGTAAAATGGCTGATCTTGTAAGCAATCACAAATAAAATGCAAACCGAACGGGCACTCACTTGCAATAGTAGAGGCGACCGTCAGCGCCCTGGTGGACGGACCAGTCCTTCTTGAGCGCGCGCTGCAAATCCTGCACCTGCGCCGCCGCCGCAGCCCCCACCGCCGCCGCCGCCACCGCTGCTACCGTGGCCGCGCCGCCCACGCCGCCGCCCCCACCGCCGCCGCTGCCGCCGGGCGCCACCACGGCGTCGGGACACGTCGTCGTCGTCGAAGTCGTCGTCGTCGTCGTCGGCTGCAGCAACATGAGCCACGCCGCTGACGCCGTCGCCGTCGCCACGCGCCGGCACGGCTCCACCTGCGACACGAGACATTCCGGTCAGGGCAACTTGGACTCCCAAGTTGTATACGTAAGCTTCCGCGGCTCGAATCCATGAATTCTCGGCTATCCGGGAGACGCCGCGTCGTTGGCTGGGGTGCCGACGTTTCGCCTGACATGTCGCAGGCTTCCTCAGGGCAGTGCCCACATGTCAGGCGAAACGTCGGCACCCCAGCCAACGACGCGGCGTTTCCCGGATAGCCGAGAATTCAGGGACTCCCAACTTTTTTTCTTTTTCTTTTTTTTTTCATCGAACGAATTATTTGCTTCATTAACCCCCTTAAGTCTTATCTATAGTATTCAGTATCCATAAACATGATAAAGTATTGCGCATAAATGCCTTAAGGATAATTTCTTACACCAATATTCTTGCAAATATCTCGAATTTTCAGTAATCGAAGATGCTCCCACGTTTGAATAGTTTTGTTTCTAATCTACATTGAAATGCAATGGTTACAAAATGTTGAGCGATTTTTCACAGTTGGCCATGCCATTTCTCCAGTGCGTTTTTGCGGTGAGTATGTTCATGCGTGATTGAATATAGTTGTGAATGCATAGTTTCTAAACATCCTCATGCCTATGGAAGAAGAACGGATAAAAAAGGAGAGGGTCGGATTAGTAAGTTGTTATTATGCGTTTTGTTGGTTTGAATCAGGAAACAGTTTCTTAAGTTCATTAACATTTTTTTGTAATCAATAAGTATCATAATCGATAATCCTGGTGAGGCACCGGCTTATATTTGGTTATTCACCGCTGGGAACCCCTGGGTTACAGGTCGATCGGAGCCGGGCTTCCAGGCGCCGTCCTCCGACTAGCCGTGCGACAGCGATGTCGCTTTAACATACCGATGTTTTTATACAAACATCGATTTTTTTAAATCGATATATTAAAGCTGATCTTTAGTTTCGATGATTTTACGTTTTCGTTTTGTTAGTGAATGAACCATTCGCATAACTACAATTTTGTACTACGTATTTTATGTTTTTGTATTTTGTACAAGTTAAAATATGAAATAATAAATGATGGTAACTGTCAGTTTATGTGTTCGAACCAAAGGAACGCTGTTTACACTACCTAGATCGAGCAGACTATCTCGCCGCAGTTGACACCTATGCCCTGCAAGTACTATACTGCGATTTGGCAACTCTGCCCCTAGCACGTATCAGCTGGAACTTGAACGTCACCACAATGACGTCACTATGGAGACGTTTAAGCTTCCGATTCGATGAAACTGTCAACAGCTGATACCTGCCAGGGGCAGAGCTGCGAATATCGCAGTATAAGTTATTCTTCGCATTTCGGACACAGGTAGTTTAGAAACATCGACGTATTGTTAACATCGATGTATTAATTTTGAAAATCGATGCTTGGTATCTTGATGTGTTGTTTTCGATATCGCAATACTACGTCCGACTCCTCTGCCATCTCCTATCGCACACACTGTGCCGAGTACGGCTCCCGCTGTGAGAGGCTGGGCAGCTCTTCTGCCGCACACGTCTTCATTGACCAGATCGAGCATCCCACACCGATCCCTGCCCCAATTCCTTTTCGAAGAATGGTTTGCTTCATCGACGCGCATCAAAGTTTGCGTATAATATACAGCATAACTATCAAAATACCCAATAATTACAGGCGAACAAAAAATACAAAGAATGTAGACAAAGATTATGATAATATGTTTTGAATAAAACGTTTATTAGATTTACACTATGTAAGCGTTTGAATCACTATCATCTTCAATTTTTATAAATAATATTAACAACTAGTTAGATATTTTGAAGTTTTACATTAAAAACAATTACCTCCACTTCATTTATCTCTTTGAAATCAATACGTTCTTGATTTTACCTGAGTCAACGATGCATATTCATCTATCGATCCCCAATATATCGATCCCCTTCAATATTTTATCGACGCCGAAAGGCGTACCCCGAACCCAAGGGCTATCGCTTCTTGCAATTATCTAAACTACCAAAACAATGAAGGTATGTGGCAAACAATAGGAAAACACAACGACTGTTTCAACACGTTTAATAATGTAATGCATCTTATGTTATAAAGACACTGGCTTAAACTTGATTGAGTATTTTGTTCTAGTTAGTCTATTAATACATGAATTAGGCTTGAAGAACACATTTTTCATTAATATTCATTTATGTAGTACTTAATGAATTCTGTACTTTTCATAACTGTTTCGTGACTATTATTAGTTGTGAAGCAATATGAATATATTTCTTAATATTTGCGCCAACTATTATAAGTTTTTAACTATTCAGCAAGAAATAGGATTCGGCCACAAAAATACGTTTAATTACGATAAAATGGTGTAGAAAATCTTAATTCGTTTATTTTTTTCCATAAGTTGTATTAGACGAAGTCAATGAATTCCATCAGATTATTTAAAATGGAAGTCACCCGCTCAATCCGTAGAATCGAGGTACGGCTGTAAATGTTGCACTTTAACACCGATTTCAGCCAGTGGCCGATTTTTTTTTTCTCAGCGGCCAAGAATAGAACAACATACTCTTGACGCGTCTTGAATATTTTCTCTTTTGTAACTATCCGAAATGAAATTACAGAAATATTAGTCTGATGATCGTCCATCCTCAAGGAATTGTAGTAATCACGTTTCCTCAAAGAATAAAACATTGATATCGGTCTTTGCGCAAGCAAGAAATCACTTCAACGCGTGATTTCAGCATGTAAACACTTTGATCAATCAGCGATTTGTACAATAATTTCATCTTTTAGAATTAATAATTATAGTAATAAAATGACAATTATTTATCTAGATAAATGAAGCAAATTTATATTGTTCTATAAAACTGATAAACCTCTATTGGTTTTCTAATGAAAGCTTTAACATGTAAATATCAGCTAACTTCAAGAAAAGATATGAGTAAATATCTGTCCCGGAGAGGAAAGAAATGCATTAATACCAATGTAGGAGAAGAATTACAATGACAATGGAACAAGCTAAACAATGTCAATTATCTTCATTGTTCTGTGCATTTTCGGCACGCAACGAGCTGTGTTCAGGAAAAAGAACATCACTATATCTAATGCCTCTGTTTGGCACTGAACTCGACGCCATGTGGCAAATAGCAACGCTACATTGGCTCCGTGGTGTATCTCTTCGCATCAATCCCACGATTGGATTTCGTGTCATCGCTGCTGGTTTTGAAATTTCGCTGTTTTTGTCATTCTGATTAATGAAGCCATGCGCTCGACAGAACTCCCATTTGAGTAATTCGCGAAGAGCGACGTTTCAGGAATAACTGTCAATCTTCGTCCTACCATGGCGCGTAATGAATCGAATACACGTGAAAATATTGTATTTCAATACAAGACCCATTCTTTGAAAAAGTGTATTACATAATTCACTTCATGTTGAACCAAACATATTTATTAAATGCTTGAACGACGAACAAAAGCACTTAATGAAGATGGTTCTACGAATTTATCTCTACCACACAGACTCCGATTCGAATCAGAGTAGAGCACAAAAAAATCGTAAATACATTGTCATCTATCGCACACGTGATTTGTAATATACTTTAGCGTGAAGTACCCAATTGCATACACCGAGTGTTGCGTTCACTACTTCTAAAATCAGAGAAAGAAATGAATAAGATACAAAATAGGAGGGGAAAGAGGAGATATTGGCTGATTTTAATGGGTATCGACCCCTGAACTCTTTGGTAATTAGATCTTTCGGTGTAAGACGTGTTACATCACATGAGGTGGCAGTGGAAATGAAATAGAGCTACGACCTACACACCCACTTGTGGGGGGGGGGTCCCCTCCTGGTCAGAGGAAGAACCGCAGATATACGTTCTAAGTCCATGTCTGGTACCCCGAGATATGAGGCAAATGTCTATGTGCGAGTGTATGTAAGGAGAGATCCGGCATTCACCTGGTATTGATCGTTGACACTACGGAAAACTACCGAACTGAGATGTCGGCCACTACACTTCTACACTAGTCAGCAGCTGGATTTGCCCTAATTATCTAGCAAATGGAAAAGAGGGAAAGACAGAGAAAAATATAGAGAGAAGGATAGAGAGGAAATATAGTATAAAAAATTACAATAGAATGGACGGAAGGGGGAAATAAGGGGATAGTTAAAAAAAGAGAGGGAGGGAGGAAAATAGACACATAGAAAATATTCAACAGGGAAAAGAGAGTAAAATAACGGTCACATTTTGCACAAATTGCACAGAGCTCTTGAATCTTCGTAAACAGTAAAATTACACATATACACGTTCGTAGCTTATAATACGACAACACAATTTACAAAGATTACGTAGGAGTTAGCTAACTATCAAACGTAGGCAATCTATTCTGAATACCAACAGGGGGATGGTACTTCAATCCTCTTAAAATACGCATGTTCATAATTGACCTCGATCTCCTCTAACAAATAATCCCCATCAGAATCGGAGGGATTAATTTGTATAACCTCGCCCACCTAGTTTTCGCTATGGCATTTAACAAGACGGTTTATTTATCGGTAAAACAATGTTATTCATAGGCAACTGTCATGCAAACTCAACATGTTCTCGCATTTCCAAGTACACATAGAATTTCAATAATATGCTTTTAATACCTACGTGATTAAAAATTTTATAAATTATCTTCATGGGTAGAAACACGAGGTAAATGGTAAATTTAAATGCAAAGAAATAATTGAAAAAGCAAAATTTACAACAAACCTGACTAATAAGAAGAGTATTATATGTAATTAAAATTCGGTTTTAAAGTTCGATGATGTAAGCCACAGATATTTATCGATTAACCAGTTGAACAAATAAAATAACTTTAGAAATACGAGTAAAAAAAAAGTCGCCTGATATTACTCGTTAATCCGTGAATTGGACTCATTCATTTCTACGGATGTAGCTTAAGACTAATAAGGCCTAATAAAGACTAATAATTCGCGCGCGGCGATGGTATAACGGCATTGGACTGTTATACCC